GAAGTATGATCGGCACCTCCCCCCAACCACAGGACGTCGGCGGGACATCGGGCGGGACGTTTGATCCAGCTGCTGCGCGGTAGTTCGCTCCAGGGCAAACAGCCACGCCTCCTCCCCGCAATATCCGGCCTGTGTGACCAGGGCCCCTGTCTACTTCTTACATCAACCTATTGAAACAAACAACAGCATGTTCTATTACACAATGCAGCATGGAAGCATTCTGGATCTTTCATTTACAGACTTTGCAACCAAAAGGTCTGAATTAGGAATTTGATCTTTCATGTTTTTTGTGAAAGTTATGGGTATTTGGGTGGTAGCAGTGCTGTAGGTTTAAGAACCTGAATGTTGCTCATTAGTGGCACCTGTTGTGGGTGCTGGCTGGAGAGTTTAAATGACATGCTTGCAAGGTGGGTTTTGAGAAGACAGAGTTGAATTAGGAGCAATATGCCACAGAAGTAATTTCGGAAGTCTTCCATCTATGTAGAATTTATGTAGTGAGTAAATGACTTGTAAGAGATTACTTGTATCTTCATTGTATGTCTGCTGTTTGGTGACCTTTTTGTATTTTTTTGTATTTTTATATTATGTGCAGTGAGGATTCTTTGATAAAGACAAAGAAATGGGCTGAAAATAAACTGGGACCCCGTCAGAATCTTTCACATGCTGCACTGTGTAATAGAACATGGTGCTGTTTGTTTCAATGGGTTGTTGTAAGAAGTAGACAATATTGTCACTTGTAGTACTTGTATTGATAAAAATAACAAGGACTGTATGTGATATAAGTTCTATGAGCACCATTACATTATTTATAAGTAAATTTAAAGAAGAGTGTAGGCATATTTGTTGCCATCACATGGTATATATTTTGTTCATATTAGGCTATATGTACATGATCCTGCAATTTGGTGCACCTCTACCTGCTGCCTCCCAGCACTAGTTGTCAGAGGTTTCCTACCTCTGTAAATGGAGGCTCCCTTCAGTCACCATGGCAAGTAGCCACTGATGGACCTCTCCTCCATAAATCTGTCTAACCGTCTTTTAAAGCTAGCTATGTCTGCGGCCATCACTACCTACTCAGCACAGAATTCCACAGTTTGATTACTTGTTGAGTAAAGAATTATTTGCTTTTATCTGTTCTGAACCTATTTCCCAGCAATTTCATTGGGTGCCACCAAGCTGTAGTATTATGGGACACGTGTACTTCCCTGCTTTCAAGCTACTATTGTCTCACTCCTCCTTTCCATGGTAATCTTTGTACAAGGATGAGAACTAGAAGGTCTCTGCCAAGGTAGGCAGCCATTCCTCATGATTGTGTGGTGGATACAAGAACCTTCTGGAGGGAGGGGAAAGATCCACATGCAACATGAAAACAACCCCATGCTGCATTACCCTGGTGAAGGCTTTTGCTACACAGCATGTTGCTTCTGATGTAATGTTCTTTGGGACCCGCATTGTTTTCTTTGTCCTCATGGGAGTGGGATAAGCCCTTGAGAAACAACATCCCACGCACTGGAAAACACGCTGCCCGTTGAGTGCTTCGGTCACATGCGTATTCAGTTTTAGTTGACATTCTGTACAACCTATCAAAAAGAACACATAAATACATTAATCTTGTTCTAGGTGATGCTTCATATTCCAATACATGATTATCATGGTGTGTCCTAGTTACTTGTTCCCTGGAAAAGTGGCAGAAAGAATTTATCTCTCCAGCTGCTTTAGTTACCAAGTAATTAGTACTGGTAGCATGAAAGTCTCAATGCATGCCTTCAGTTCATGAATGGGCATCTCATTGATCAAGGGGAAATTCGTTATAGAAAATGAGAAGAGAATCTGATATGGTCTTCTGTCAGTGGATTATCTGGAAGTTATTATTTGCAGATACTGGTCATCTGTTGTAATCTTGGAGAACCTAGAATCTCCCTTTTTTCTTTCATTTAAAAATATTCTATTATCTGTCTGTTTTTGTGTTATTCTTTTCCTTCTGTTATTTGTTTGACCTGTCATAAAGCTGCTTGACACGCAGCAAGCCAGAAGGGAAACATAAATACTTCAGATTTGCAGAGTATTAGTAAAACGAATGGATTTGATAAAAACAAAGACAATCATTTTGATGGCTTGCAATAGAGTTGCTGATAAATCCAGGGCCAGATCCATAATGAGGCCAAGTGACGCAGAGGCCTCTGGTGCCAAATTCAGGGGGGAGCAGCATCCTCTGCCTCTTTGCCTCACCATCATTGCTTCTTTCACCACTGCTCCCTGTTCTGCCCCCTGCCTGTCCACTTTCCCCTTGCCAGAGCAGCTAACTAGTTTCTTCCTTACTCCCCTCATGTTTTTGAATACTGCACAGTAAGCTCCATACACCCAAAAAGGATTCCCAAACTCTCACGCATTTCTTTTTGTCTGCAGACAAAGTGCTAGCCTATCCAGGCAGAAGCAGCAGAAAGAGGCAGGGAGAGGATGGTGGATCACAGCAGTTTTTCTTCTTCAGTACTGTCTGCCAGGCTTTCTAGTCCAAAATAAGAGTCAGCATCCTCTTCATGTGCTATTTTCTATTACCGTAGCACTGAGATGTTCCATTTTCTTTCAGCTCTGAGGATAACAGAATCCCTTTGTATGCCTATTATCTGCAATGGGCGAATGCCTGGAATGTCTCTTTCTGACCCTATATGGTAGTTTGACACAAAATTCCCAGTTTTAAGCTGGTGAGGTTTAGCTCCCTTTTTACAATCGATATGCTGTTTGTGTTTACTTTGTTTATCCTAACATAATCATAAAGAGCAGGGCAAGCGGTTAATGGGGTATTGGTCTTCTGACCTCCCAACAATTTAAATGGTAATAGAATATAGAGTAGTCCTATCAACAGTGTCTTCTGTAAAGGTCGTGACCATGGTTTTTCTTGCTTATTGGCTCTTCTTTACCAGCTAGTTCATTCTCTCAACAAGACGATTATTTGTACGCCACTGAATGTCGCAAGTGCTTTAGAGAATCCTTCCTAGAAAAAAACGAAGACGTGAATTTCATCACTGTATCTGTGGTAATCTTAGCAGCACACTGGCAAAATTTTGGCTCAGTGGCTGATCTCCAAATAGCCCCTTTATGTCAAGAACAAACTTCTACTATGGGCAGTGGGGAAGCCAACCTGTGAGAAAGGAGTACAGAAGTTTTGCTGTGATTTATCACTACCAGAGTGGGCTATACTATTCCTAATCACATCTTCAGCTTGTTTGTCCATTTCTGGCCACCAGAAATCTTGCTGTAGTCTCATTTTGCTCAAAGTCATTCCCAAATGGTCCTCCTAGGAAAGGGGAATTAAACATTCTTACAGGTTTGTTGGAACAAGATGGTCACTTCTCAGAATCTACTAATATACTATAGACAGGCGACGCAGTGCATGTTTCTACAGTTTTATTGTTTCTGACATCCTCATCTTGCAAGGTCATCCTTTGATTATGTAGGTCTTCAGATCATTGTACTCGGTGTTTTCTCATAGATGCTGCCCATTTTGAAGCTGTAATTGTCCCTTCAGTCCCTGCAATGACCTGTGAAATGGTAACTTGTTCATTATCATCCAGCTTTACTTCAGTTCATTCTCAGTACAAGGTATAGGCAAGCAGCCACATTCTTTGCTCCTGGAAGACACACTGGGCTAAAGTCAACATCCATTAGCTTTGCAGAGCATTTAGCAGTCATTAAAGTGGCTCTGCCAGGAACCTTTGTAGTGAACAGGGCTGACAGAGATTGTGCTCAGACCTTAAAATATGTTTTCTACCTCACAAATATGTTATAAAATGACCATCTGCCTAGAAATCTACCAATCCTCCTTTCCGTATAATATTTGTCTGAGTATATTAAAGTTCAAGTAGCGAACACAATAGTTACTTCCCAATTTTTAGCTGAGTCAAAACAGCACTGTTAAATAGTGGGTTTAACACAGCAGAGGCGAAGGCAGAGTGATTTCAACAAGCAGCAGTTTATTGCATCTCAACAGGAATGTTTTACATGGGGCAACTGCCCTAACTATATACACCTATTTAATGGATTGTGGGCCCCTAAGCCAATACTTTTGCTTGACGTAGAGCTTACTTAGGAGCCTTTGAGGAGGAACTTTATCAAAAGCTTTCTGGAAGTCAAGGTAAACAACATCTATTGGGTTCCCCTTGTCCACATGTTTGTTCACTCCCTCAAAGAACACAAACAGGTTAGTGAGACAAGATCTTCCCTTACAGAACCCATGCTGAGTATGCCTCAATAGTTTTTGTTCATCAATGTGCCTACTAATTCTTTCCTTATTACATATTTTTGTCAGGAGATCCACAAGTTCACATCTGAGTTTTTTTTCAAAACTCTTGTATGTATGGCATCCAGGCCTGGTGATTTATCAGTTTTTAAGTTGTCTATCAGTCGTAGAACCTCCTCTCTCGTCACCTCAATCTGACTCAGGTCTTTCAACACCCCTCCCGAAATCAGCGGTTCTGAAGTGGGCAAGCACTTCTCATCTTCCACAGTGAAGACAGAGGCAAAAAATGCATTCAGCTTCTCTGCCATTTCCCTATCATCCTTCAGTACTTTTACCCCTTGGTCATCCAAGGGCCCCACTGCCTCCCTGGCTAGTTTCTTGCTTCTAATGTATTTGAAGAAAGTTTTATTGTTGGTCTTTACGTTTTTCGCTATATGCTCCTCATATTCCCT